ATGGCGTCGCGAAGAAGAAGCTCAAGAAGCCCGTGCGCGCAAAACACGACCGCCCCCACGCGGCCCTGGTCGGCGTTATGCAGCCAGGCGCCGCGTTTGCCAACTTTGCAAAGCTTAATTTGGCCTCGCTTAGGAGGTACAGGAGCGTGTATAAGCTCAATGTCGATAAGGATTGCTCCAAGGATGAGCTGGTCGGCGCTGTCAAGACCCACTTTGATAAGACAAAGGTGGACGAGACCGAGGTTATATCCAACTTTGTGCGCCACATCGCGAGGCGTGGCGGGCCGGCCGCGAGCGATTGACAAAGGAGCGCAGGGCGGGTTGGACGGCCCTTTTTCTTTTTTTCTTGTCGTCGCGTTTGGGTTATTTTCGTTTTCTGCTCCCCAGTGTCTAGAGTTTCTGGCGCCCCTTCTTCACTGTGTAATTAACACCGCGCGCCGCTGTATGTACTGACTTGGCTGGGGAGGCTACGACGACAGGAGTTGTGAATTGGAGAGACTTGCTCAAGAATCTGTGTGTATATGTCGCGTTCTGCATTATTAGGAGGGTTCCACTTTAGTGGTGTTCGTATGTTTTGTTCGTGTCTGTGTCTGTGTGTGTCTGTCTATGTGTGTGTGTCTGTGTATGTGTGCGTATGTGTGCGTATGTGTGTGTGTGTGTGTGTACGTGCGTGTGTGCTTTACCGCGTTTAATCCCCGCACACAAAGGCCCGTTAGGCATGAAACGCTTGCTGTAGTAGTTCCCGTCTGCTCTAGCTTTAAAAAATGTATTTCTTTCAGGTTTGCAACCAGAGAGTGGTTCACTCTCCTCCGCTGCGAGCCGCAACAACTGTTCTTATTGAGAATAGTCGAGTTATGTTAATGTTATGCCTTTTGTGTCGCTGAAATACAGTGTAGGTAACGTTTTCAATCTGTGTTTTCTAGTCAATAATCGGCACTTCAGCTCCATTTCTGGCGAGTCGCCAAATGCAGCGGCAACAAGGAAGCGACGCAAACAGCCACGGCTCGTTCTCCATCCTCACATATCGGGTCCACATCCGGTTTTTGTGCCGCGTACAATCAGCGTACCAGCACGGAACACGTACAGTCGGAAATGTAATGTAGCAAAGATACAGTCACGTCTTGGGATATGGGGGTTCGACATGTCGATTTCATGTCCAGCCCGTGGGTAAACATTTTATGTACACGAATCGCGTGATGGGGGACCGGGCCTGGGGATGTGGAGGGGAGCGATGGCTGAGGGGTGCGCGTGATGCGAGTTGTGGGGGTGCACATGCTGCACCTGCAGCGCTATGCAAGTGCGCATCCGCAGCGAAGGAGTGGAATCGGGCGCATTGCCGGGGCAGTCAAAGTTGCGACATCGGCCAAAAAAAAAAAACCGTTTTTGTGTGCTGTACCCTTGGGTACAACACAGTGAACCTTTTCATGTCGGTACCCATGCCCCGTGCGATTACCGCAAGTTCGCCGAGAAAAAAAAAACAAAAAGGGACCAAACAAAAAAAATCCGTCACGCTGCTCATAACGCTCATACGTACACGTGTATCAATCTCTTCGAGATTACAACCCGTTCTCGCACGTGTACGCTGTCTTTGTTGGCGGCCGTCCTGCTGCGCAATTTGGCGGGAATCACTAGATCTCTCTTTCATACTACTATACCCGGACTTGCATTCTGACCGCTTGCGCCGTCTGCGCCCCTCCCTCGGCACCCAGGCAACGTCAACCCCCCAACGCTCGCGTCTCGCAATGGCGGACCGAGAAGGCTCGCAACTCTGGGTGGAAAAGTACCGCCCGCGCAAGATCACGGATGTGACGCACCAAGATCAAGTGGTCTCCACGCTACAGCGCGCGGTGACGGAGAGCGCGGGCCGTGGCGAGCTGCCGCATCTTCTGTTTTACGGGCCGCCGGGCACGGGAAAGACGTCGACCGCACTGGCGCTAGTGCGCGACTTGTTCGGTGTGCAGAACCTCCGCGCGAGGGTGCTGGAGCTCAACGCTTCGGACGAGCGTGGGATCAAGGTGGTGCGCGACAAGATCAAGACGTTTGCGCAGACGACCGTCTCTAACCCCGTCCCGGCCAAGCACGGAGATACGCGCAAGTATCCGTGCCCGGCGTTCAAGGTGGTGATCTTGGACGAGGCCGACGCTATCACGATCGATGCGCAGACGGCGCTGCGCAGGACTATGGAGGCGCATTCCAAAGTGACCAGGTTCATTCTGATCTGCAATTATATCAGCAGGATTATCGGCCCGCTGACGTCGAGATGCGCCAAGTTTCGGTTCAACTCAATCCCGATGCATGCGATGATGGGGCATCTGAAGGGTATCGCAAAGCGGGAGGGCGTGGACATTGCGGACGATACGTTGCGCAGTTTGATCGAGACGTCGGAGGGCGATTTGCGCAAGGCGATCAACACGATGCAGTCGGCGCATCGTATGCATTCAATGACGAAGGGCTCCCTGGACATGGATATGATCTCCGCTGTGGCGTGTCTAATCCCGCCTCGCGTGTTGGACATGTTTGATGCAAAAACGGCCGAGGTGGGGTTGACTAACTCGGAGGTTCGGAAGGTGGTCGACGAAATCGTGATGGATGGTTATTCGGTTTCGCAGTTGCTGTCGCAGTACGGGGATCGTTTACTCAAGGACGATGGGTGTGACGGGATTAGGGACATGAATGACTTGCAAAGGTCGGCCGTGGCGGTTATTTTGGCAGATGCTGAGAAGGGGCTCAACGACGGGTGCGACGAGAAGCTGCAACTGTATAACGTGGCGAGCAAGATATCGCGGATCGCTGGAATGAAAGACAACGTTGAGGGGTTGCTTAAAATCCAGGCGATATAGCGAGGTGGCGGGAGCGCGGTATCATGTACGGTAACGGTACAGTAGGCTTGGGTACACAGTGGATAAGGCAAGGTGGGGGGGGGGGGGGAATACGGGACGGGAGTTTCCGGGGCGGTACAGTATACAGGTCACGCGCAAATAGCATTTAGGATGATGCCCGCAGGCCCATGTTGGTTGCAAGAAAGTTGCACACCTTACTCTGTGGACGGCAGGCAACGCATGATGCGGCGGAAAAACCAAACACATGTGACGATAATCTGGTGGCGAGGTAAAATCTTTGGAA